TGGGAGTATCCTCGTCTCAACATTTTGTATTTCCACGCTTTCAGGGCCCATGATGGGGCAGGGGGAATTTTGGCTTTCTGACTTAGAACTGTGGACAAATTTTTGAGGGTTTATGCACTTGTGAATGTAGACAGAGACTTGTTGTTGATTTTTTTTTTTAAATATCCTTTGCACACTTTTCCCCCTGCTCTCCATTTGTAGCACAAGCTCTCTCCTGTTTCCCAGTGAAAAGAGACCACTGGAGAGAGGCTGTGGCAACACCCAGCGTCTACTTTGTCTCTGACCAGTTTCTCATCCCTCCCTTTCCTCCTTGTTAAGCCAGAGGGGGCGGTCCCCCCTTTATCTACAGCCGCCTCCCCATCCCTTACCTGGACTTCATCCCCTCCTGTCTGCTCAGGAACTCTGTTCCCTTAGGAGCCCTCTCTCTTTATATCAACCTCTCCCTTCACATCAATATTTAATCGTGCTCAGAAGGTCCTATTTTGACAATAAATAAATAAGCAGTAACTGCCTGGACTGCAGCTCATTCCCTCCCTCACAGCGGAAGTGTGACGCCTCCCTCTCCCCCTTCCGCCTTCAGGGGTCGATTCTGAACCCATGGCTTCGCTGAAATCACTCTTGCCAAAGTCTTTAACGACCTTCAGGATGCTAACTTTACTTAAAGTTTCAGGCTTTAGTTTCCTTGATGGTTGACCCCTTTTGTAGCTTCGGCCACTCTCTCCTCCCCGACAGGCTCCGCCTCCTCCTTGAGGCTCCTTTCTGTCTTCCAGACTCTTCGTCCTGCTCCTCTCCCAGTGCCAGATTCCTCCTCAGTTCTCTCCAAGCTCCTTATCCCTTGTCACACTAGGTGAGCCAGCCACGTCCACGGCTGAGAGTTAGCCAGGTCCAGATTTGACACTTAATTGCAACCCTTTTAGGTTTTGTCTTCTGGATAAGTCACTTAACTCTCATGACTTCAGTTTTCTGAATTTTAAGATCAGCATAATTATTCCCACATCACAGAGGTGTAGTTGAGAGTCAATCAGATAAACTCTTTAAAACATTTTATTTATTATTTTTAACAATTTTTAAAAATTGAAGTGTAGTTGATTTACAGTGTTAGTTTCAGGTGTATAGCAAATTGATTCAATTATGTACATACATACATATATATTTATTCTTTTCGGATTCTTTTTCATTGTATGTTATTACAAGAAATTGAATATAGTTCTCTGTGCTATACAGTAGGTCTTTGTTCTATCTATTTTATATATAGTAGTGTGTATCTGCAAATCCTGAACTCCCAATTTATCCCTCCACTCCCCCGTTTCCCCTTGATAACCATAAATTTGTCTTCTATGTCTGTGAGTCTGTTTCTGTTTTGTAAATAAGTTCATTTGTGTCATTTTTTTAAGGTCCCACATAGAAGCAATATCACATGGTATTTTTCTTTCTCTTTCTGGCTTACTTCACTTAGTATGACAACCTCCAGATTCATCCAGGTTGCTACAAATGGCGTTATTTTATTCCTCTTTATGGCTGAGTAGCATTCCATTGTATAAATACAGTTCCCATGCTACACAGTAGGTCCTTGTTGTTTATCTATTTTATATATAGTAATGTGTCTGTTAGCCCTCAATCCTTAATTTATTATTTATTGATTGATTCAACAAAAATTTTGAGCCCATACTGTATCACAGTTACTAGGTACATGCCTTTTTTGACTGTGACAAACAGTAAGAAGAAAAATTTAGGACACACATATATAGAAACAGATTTTCCTTCAGAAAAACTTACTCTATATTTAATGCGATCTGCTTTTCTATTTTCTATTCTATTTCGCTGAAACTTATACTTGTCACAATCTACTAAATTTCCCAATTCCCAAATGAAACATGGCCTACAGTTTAGAAAACATTCTTCTAGGCTCTGGGGACACAGTCTCATTGGCCCCAAGGACCTTTCTTTCCAGAGCTCAGCTGTTCATTAGAATTTTTTTCAGCAATGGAAAAGTTCTATATTTGTGCTGCCCAGTATGGTAGCCACTAGCCAGCCACATGTGACCCTTTAGCCTTTGAATTGTGGTGGGTGTCAGTGAGGGACTGAATTTTCAAATCTTCTTTCATTTTAATTTATTTAAGTTTACAAAGTCACATGTAGCTGGGAGTCAACCTAATCAGACAAACTCTATAAAATGTTTCATCCACTGATCGATTCAACAAAAATTGTGGCTATGGCAGTGGACAGCAGTTCCAGAGCGTGAGCGACAAGCCAGGAAAAAAATAAATGAATACAAGGACAAGGTAATTTCTGATGGTTATCACTTATCAGAGCAGCGACGGTGCTATTTAGGGTGGAGTGACTGAGAGTGACTTTGGGAAGAATTTAGGTTGGGTGGTCAGATAAGACCCTTCTGTGGAGGTAACAGCTGAGTTAACATCTGAATGACAAGGAGCTAGACATTTGGCCCTCGGAGGGAGGAGGATCCCCGCTGGAGAGAAGAGCAGGTGCATAGACCTGGAAGTGAAAATGACCTTGGTGTATCTGAGGAAGAGAAATCCTATGAGGCTGGATCGTAGTGGCAGTAGGTACTAAAGGAAGTTAGCTGTGATGATAATGGTGATGACAAGAAAAGATTGAGACCTCATTACTCAATTTATCGATGGATATTTCCCCTCTAGGAGTCCTGCAGGCATTTCAAATTCACTTATTCTGTACGAAACATCCAAAAATTGTTCCTCCTCTGTGATTCCTGTCTCAGTGAGTGGTATCACCATTTAACCTGGGATTCACCTTCCTTCCCTTCCTCTCCCTCACTCCATCAATTGCCAGGTCCCGTCATTGTCCTCCTAAATATCTCTGGAGTAGGTCCACTTCTCCACATCCTCGTGGGACAGTTTCTTGATTCGTAGGCTTGTGATAATTTCTTTGCCTAAATCTATTCTTTGCTCGGCAGCCAGAGTGGTCATTCCGAAATACAAATGCAACCATGCCACCCTTTGGCTTAGCATCTTACCTCGTACCCCAAGGCGCTCAGATTAAAGCAGGAGCTCTTAAACGAGGACTTACTAGGACTCTTCTTACTGGCCTAATGTGCCTTGTTCAACCTGTTTTCAGTAACTTGGAAGTGCCTTGCTCTCTATTCTATGAGCATCTATGAATAGTGTTTCTTCCACCTACCGTTTCCTTTGCTATCCTCCCCAACCTTTGAATGATGCCCTCCGGATCTGGCTTAAGCATCACTTCCTCCAAGAAGCCTTCCATTGACTCCCTGGCCTATGTTCGGTGTCCCTTCCAGGTGCTCTCAGTGTGCTCTGAACCTTCCCCACTGTGGCACTCACTTCGCCACACTGTAATTGCCTATTTACAAACCTGTGGGCTGCCCGAGGACAGAGGTCAGTCTCCCACATTTGTTGATGCGTCCCTAGCATCTAGTACAGTGCTGTGCATCAAGTAGATGCTCAATAAATATTTAATGGATGAATCAAAAAGGAAGAACTTGAACTCAGAGATTTTCATTGACAATTAATGATTACCTATTGACTAATAATAACAGCTAGCATTCACTGAGCATGCTTAGCATTTCACTCTCTCTCCTTTAGCTCCTCTACCACAACCCACTAAGATAGGCATGCTTTTCCTCATTTTACCAATTGAAAACTGAAGCCCCCCCAAGGATTTAGAATCATTTGCCTGAAGTTACACAACTGGTAAGTGACAAAGAAAAACCTGGGGCCACCCAAGCTAAAAAAAAAAAATCAATTTTCTTAATCCTTCCACCAGGTGTGATGAGCTTTCCGGATCCCCTTGTTGTAAGTGAGACGTCACAGACTGCAGTGGGTTTGTAACTGGAGAAGGACACTGCTTGAGTCAGAGCCGTCCTGAGCTGAGTCATTATTCTATACTTACAAAGCCAGCGCCCATTTGCTGGGCTTGAACTGAAGCTCAAGACTAGTCTGTTTGCTTCAGTTTGGCGGGAATCATCTTGAAAAGGTTTTCTGTTCTTTTCTTTTTTTTAAATTGAAGCGTAGTTGGTTTACAATGCTGACTTCTGGGGTACAGATAGTGACTCAGTTATACGTATGTATATGCCTTTTCATATTCTTTTTCATTATAGGCTATTACAGGGTATTGAATATAGTTCCCTGTGCTGTACAGTAGGACCTTACTGTTTATCTATTTTATAGACAGTAGTTTGTATCTGCAAATGTCGAGCTCCCAATTTGAAAGGTTTTCTGAGAGTATGCTCCCCAGCGGGTGAGCTCTGGCAGTGGGCTCCTGTGCACCGGCGTGGCTGTGATGCGTGGTGTCCACTGAGAGAGGGAAGCTAGGAGCCTGGGAACTAGAGTGTGGACCACGCTGTGGCAGAAGGCATTTTTGCATTTTCTTGGTGATCCCTAATCCATCTGGGGAGTGGCCTTGCTTTTTATAATATTCTAGGAACTGCCACACTGAATTGTGATCTTTGGGTTGACGGTATTACTGTAGCTTGGTGGAAATGCTGACAGACGGTTCTGTCAGGGCCATTTGATGTGACTTTGGGAATTTTGATTCTGCCCTTTGGACCTGTGCCTTCCATCTTTCTGGTGGGTTGAGCAGTGAAGTAGACTGTTTTCCTCTTAGAAAGCCCCAGGCACTGGCTAGATTTCACCTTGCTTATTCTTCACTACATTTGTCTCTGGCAGGAGAGTGGCAATTGTTGGCTCTTTTACAAGGAGAAGGACAGTGGGGCCAGCGGGGTTAACTGGCTTCCCTCAGTGAAACCTCCAGGTTAGACTAACTCCATGTCATAAGATTATGTTTCTAAGTTAGATTGTTCAATCTTACCAGGGAAGAAACGCATGCTTTATATTTAAAGATCCATGTACTTTGGTATATTTTCGTTCATTCATTCATTCATTCATTCAATAATTATTTGTGGAGATCCTACTATGTGCCAGGCACTGGGGATCCAGTGGGAAGGAAGACAGCCATGTTGTCAAGAAACTGACATTCCAATTGAAGAGAGAACAGACAGAAAATGTAAACATATACATGAAGTTTTCATTTCAAATGCCAATTGTCCAAAGACCAAAACAACAACAACAAAGTAACAATATGGAGAGTGCTTGGGGTGGATGAAGAAGGGGTCATGAGAAGGCTTCCCTGAGATGGTATTGTGTGGGCTAATAGTGGAAGGATGCAAAAGAGCCAACTTTGAGAAATCTGGGGAAGAGCATTCCGGGCAGAGGGAACAGCAAGTGCAAAGGCCCTGAGGCTAGAACAAGAGTGTCATGTTCAAGGAGAGGGATGCTGAGTCCTTAGAGGTTTTTAGGCAGAAGGGGGATGGGATTCTCATCTTTGTGACAATAAGATCTCTCTGATTGATGCAGAGGTGAACTGAGGGAGGGAAAGGATGAAACAGAGAGAATAGGAAGAGATTACTGCAGGGGTTCCAGGGTAGACACTTTTTTTTTGAGTTCCTACTATGTTTCAGACACTATTAAGCACTGTCCCTACATGATTCATCTTTAATATCCACGACCGTCCTATCAGGGAATTAATATCTTCATTTTTCAGATAAAGAAATGAGAGGCTCAGGAGTTTATAAGCATCTTATCCAAGACCACTCAACCTAAGTGGCAGAAGCAGGGTTTAACCAAAGTCTATACTGTTGAGTACTTTTCTAGCCCTGGCAGACCTTCATGGCCTGCTAGAATATTCCCCACAGAGGTCCCCCAGGCTCTTTAAAACTGCCATACCTAAAACTGAACTCACTATCTTGTCCATCCCCCAAACCTTTCCATTAGGTTCCTTGGTTATATTAATGGCATCACCTCCAACTCAATCCAGGCTAGAAACTTTAATGTCTTCTTAACTGTCTTTACGTGGTCGTTTTCCTCATTAATCTGCTTCAGATCTGTTGCGTCATTTGGTCCATTTTCACTCCGTCATCTGTTTGATTTCCTTGCCCGTCGTCATTGCCTTGGCTTGTGCCGAGTCAGCTATTCCAGTAACTTCCTCTTCGTCTCCTGATTCCAGCCCGCCTCCGTCCTCTCCAGTGTGTTTCCATCCAGCCTCCAGGTTGAGTTCTCATCTTAAACCCGGGTTCCATTATCCCTGACCTCAAAAATCATCCCATGGACCCCCTCTGCCCCCAGAACCAAGTTTGTTATCTTGAGTCTGGCAATCGACTTACCAGCAGCGAGTAGTTGGTTTTTGGTCAGCAGACTGCTTGTTATTGTAGCATTGGACGTATTTGTTTTTGCAGCTGATAACTCTTACCACATATAACCAGTCACGTGAAGAGGAAGGTTAGGAACACGCAGTCCAGCCGATTCCTGGCGGCACTGTTTAGATGTCCAGCATGAACCGTGATAACTAACTGGTGGGTGAGACTAAGCGTTCACGGGCCAGGAGGTGTTTCCACAGCCTCCTGGTACAGTCTGTTGACGCAGCAGCTCTGGGAAGCCGCTCAGCTGGATACATTTTTGTTGGATTGACTTGCGTGGACCCTTCAGGCACAAGGAGAGGCCTGAGCTCTAAGACAGATCAAGTCTAAACTAGCCACAGGCTTCTTAACCTCTTCATGGCATTCCAGAGGGCAAAGGCGGCCAATTCTTATGAATAGGAATTATTTAGTTTAAAAAATAACAAACGAGTGTATGGCTACCAGTGGGGAAGCGGGGGTGGGAAGGGATAAACTGGGAGTTCAAGATTTGCAGATACTAAGTGCCATATATAAAACAGGTAAACAGCAAGTTTCTTCTGTACAGCACAGGGAACCATATTCAATATCTTGCAGTAACCTATAACGAAACAGAATAGGAAACAGAATATATGTACGTATATGTATGACTGAAACATTATGCTGTACGCCAGAAATTGACATAACATTGTAAACTGATCGTATGTCAATAAAGAAAGGAAATTTCTGGACAGAAGGAAACACTCATTTAGTGTGAGAGTTATCCTAACCCTACACTGGCTGTTTATAGGCAGTAGGTCCCTGTGAATGAGGCACTGAATAAACAGAAGGTTAAGAAACAGGGGACTGTGTGGTTATTTCCTAAGTTGAATTTGCAGACCTGTAATCCAGGGATTCAACCCTGGCTGTCAGCACCCAGCCAGCTTTCTGTCTTGAAGCATTTATCAACATGAGGCAAATATATATATGCTGAAGCACTTTTTGACCTCGCCCTGCTAAGGACTCCTCAAATGTACGGTAGTTTTTCTAGAGAGGTTCTCTGGTCTCCTAGATAATCAGAAAGAACATTTAATAAAAAATGGTTTTCTTCTATCTTTTCTCATTGAAGAAAATACAATTTTTTGAGGCTGTTGCCTGTGATGCCAAAGGAGATAAATGAAATTCATTTCTGCCAATTTTAAGAACTATGCTGGAAGTTGTTCCCTGTTTTGTTTTGCAGAATAAGTGATAGCTTGAAAAGATAAGATAGAATTGCTCCATATTTTCCATATTCAATTTTAAGGTGGAGGATAATGTTTTATGTCTATACTACAAGTGAATTATGATTTTCCACAATATTTGAAGCATAATATAGATGTTTAGCTGACAACCGTGTCTCGTAGGAACAGTGCTGAAACAACAGAAATCAAGCAAGAGAAGAAAGGAAAGAAAACATATCTCTAGTCTTGCCATTCTAAAACCCAGCTGCTTTAGTGTTTCCTCCCAGTTACTGTCAATTTGTTACTAATTGTCATACAGTTACAATCATAGTGTAGATATGACTTTACAATCAGTTTTTTGCTTCTACTGTTACATAAGCCTTTTTTCCCAGCCACTTTGCATTTTGAAACCCTAATGTGCTTTTATAATAGAATTCCTGGACAGTAATGGATTTCTTCAAACAGGTTCACTTAGTTCTGGAAGTGAAAGATTTTCATTGCTGTTCTCAGCATTAGTGTATTGTGGTTAATCGCACTTTTACTGTTTTCACGAAGACAAATTCTGCCAGGGGCCAAACAGAGCTGCTAAGATAAACAGTCCTGGCAGACCGAGGGACAGGTCACAATCTGTGAGTGCTCAGAAGACTTCAGTTTTCCTTTCCTGTTCTATAAAGAGTACAAAGCTCTTAGACGTTACGCTCAAGGCATTGAAACTACTGCTCAATTTAATAACAAGCACAGAGAATGCACGTAGGACCTTGTGGCTTGCTACCTTTACCAGGGACTCACTAAAAGAAAGGCCATTGATGAGAGCATAGATTCTGGCTATGACCAAACCTATTGTTCACTCAGTCATTCCAAGTCTCCCCGGCTGTTCCACCAAGGGGGAGAGCATGGCGGTATTAGAAGCAAAGGGAGACACTCATCAGAGGGTTTCCGTGATGTAGCAAAGGTGATCGATGGGGAGCTAGAGGGATCTTTCGTCTCCTTTTCCTCGTGTTTGTCCAGCATCTTGTAGGATTTCCCATGGGTTTCGTGCGTGTCCTTTAGCAGACACATCAAGAGAATTATTCAGAAAACATACCCTGGAATAAAATGTGAGCTGACTCAGTGGTTTTCCTCAGAAGAGACCTGGAGGGAAGGTGACATGGTAGGGAGGGAGGATGTGGAAACGTGTGACCTGCCTCACCAGCCCGTAAGTCACAGCTCACAGTGGGAAGGCTGCACAAGGTCACGTGTCGGTGACCAGTCCAGTTCGACATCTGTGTGTGTCCACCACACAGAAAATGAACATGGGCTAAAGGCAGCCAGGGACATGGCTCTCCCTCCGTGCTCCTCACTTGGCGCACGAGATGACCTTCAGGAGTGCCTGTTCTGTACTTTCCACTCACCAGCTCGCTATGTTCTGGGACTTAATGAGCTAATATTCATAAGCCTTGCTTATTACGAGATGATCATCATTGTCGTCATCACCTTCATCTGCCTCAGCCATGGATTACCAAATGTCCTTGGTCAGTGAGGCCTGAACAAATACGAATTCTACCCCAGACTCTCCTGGCTTCTAAAAAATAAATATTGCTGATAACGATTTACCGGTATTCAGGAGATGAGATGACACACTGATAATCTGGCCCTCTCGAAAGCAAGGATGAAATGCTAAACGACAAAATACTGGGTTGTTGCCTGTAGGACGAGCTGGATGTGCTAGCCCTTCCACACTCTAACCGTGGCTGGGCCATGTCTGTTTCCTGGTTTGTTCATTCATTCATTGGCCAAGGATTGGTTGAGTGTCTACTTTGTGCCAGGCATCCTGCTAGGGTCTGAGCTATATGCACGAGCACAGGAGGCAGAGTCTCAAAGAGACTTCAGCCTGGTGGAGAACACAGACATATTCTAAAAATCTTGTAAAAAATGCAACATTAAATCTGTCATGGATACAAGGAGGAGGGTGCAAGGGGGCTGAGAGTGAAGATGGAGGTGGAGACCTAGTCCGGGGAGGATGACTGACCCAAGGTTGGAAAGAAGATTAATAAAACTGGCTGACATTTACCAAGTTGTTACTAGGAGTCAGGCTCAGATTTTAATGCTTCATATGGATTTTTTTGAGACTTATGGACTCTTGGCAATATATAGGGGAGAAAACTTAGGCTTGGAGACAGTAAGTAACTTGTTAAGGATCATTCAGCTGTGAGTAGGAGAGTGGAGACTGGGACTCAATTTAACTACAAAGCCTGGAGTCTTACCCACTCTGCATACTGCCTTCGGTCTTTTTTTTTTTTAAATATATTAAGATGTATGAATTCTTTATAATTTTCGATATTAACCCCTTATCATTTGCAGATACGTCCTCTCATTCAATAGACTGCCTTTTCATTTTGTTGATGGCTTCCTTGGCTGTGCAAAACCTTCTTAGTTTGATGTGGTCTTACTGCTTTCCTTTGCTTTTGTTGACTGTGCTTTTGGGGTCACATCCAAAAACTCATTGCCAAGACCAATGTCAAGGAGCTTCTTTCCTATGTTTTCTTCTAGGAGTTTTAGAGTTTTAGGTCTTGTGTTTAAGTCTTTAATCCATTTTGAGTTCCTTCTTGTGTGTGGTGTAAGATAGGGGTTCAATTTCATTCTTCTGCATGTGATTACCCAGTTTTCACACCATTTGTTGAAGAGACTATCCTTCCACCATGGAGTATTTCTGGCTCCTTTATCAAATACTAGTGAGTGTTTATTTTTGGGCTCTTTATTCTGTTACATTGGTCTAAGTGTTTAAAAAAAAATTCGATTTTTTTGAATCTTAAATTTTTAATACAATTTTAAAGGTTATTCTCTATTTTTGAATCTTAAATTTTTAATACAATTTTTAAAGGTTATTTTCACAGTTATTACAAAATTTTGGCTATATTCTCCATGTGTTGCATGTGTTGCTTGAAATAAAATTAAGCAAGTGGAGAGAATGGTGGGAAGGGATACCAGGCAGGTGGAAGAGCAGGTATGGGGCACAGAGGTGGAAGAGAACTGAGCACGTGTGGGGAAGTGAAGGGAAGGCAGGGTGGCGGGGGGATGCAGGCTGGGGGAGCGCGAGGTGAGGCCAGGAGGTGGGCAGCGCCAGGCGGTGCGGGGTCTGGGGAGTCGTGTCAGATTCTGGCCCTGCCAAGGAGGAAGCCACTGGAGGACTCTAAGCAGGGGTAGACACGGTCAGAATTGAATTTTAAAAAGGTGACCCTAGCTGTCGACTAGAGCTAGAAAAGGGCAAAGGCAGATTTGGGGAGACAAACTGAAACCCTTTGGTGGTGGTGAGGGGTTTATTGAGAGCAATTGAGGCGCTGAGACAAGTTCTAACTTTCCGACTTTGGCAAGTCGGTGGAGAAAGAGCCCATGTGTTGAGAAGGGACCGTGGGAATGACATGGCTGGGAGGGAAAGGTCGTGTGTTTGATGTGGGCTGGTTGAGTCTGAGACGCCTTTCTGAACCCGGGAGGAGATGCCAAGTTGATCATATTATATAAAGGTCAGGAGCCCAGGGAGAAGTTAGGGCAGAAGACAGAAGTGTGTCAGTCATCCCAGGAAGAGGTGTCATTGTGCCCGTGGGCGTGGATGCGACAGCCTAGGGAGAGAGCCTCTGTGTTTTCACCGCCCCCTCCCCGCTTTCTTCTTCCCAACTTGCCTCTGAGGAGTGTGGCTGCTTCACCCCTCATTCTGCCGACCTGACTCCTTTGTCCCCTTCCTCCTCAGGCACGTCTTCATTCTCCATCCCTCCTTCAAACCTCTGAAGTCTCCTTCCTTACTGTCTACTTTCTCAGGTTTACTGTTGAGGGCGGGCTCTTGAGTTCTCAGCCTCACTGATGGCTCTTTTTCAAGGGCAGCCAGTGACCCCCTCAATCCTAGATCCAATGTTTCAACCCAACTCAGTCTGCACCTTTCGCTTCTCCTTGGCATCTGACCGTTGATGCCTCCCGCTTTAAACAGTCTCCCGCCCTGCCTTCTCTTGCATCATCTTGACTCTCAAGTCTTTTCTAATTTCTCCTGTCTTCTTCATGTGCTTCTCCTTCCGCTTCTACCCCATAAATGTACACAGTCCCCAGGAGTGTTTTCTTCCTCCTCCTTCTATGCTTGCCAACTTAGCTAACTGGTTCAACCCTGTGGCCTTAACAGCCCCTCCCTTGTGGGAAAGCACTAAAACCTATCTTTCCAGCCAGCACCCCAGTACCCCAGACCCGGCCATCCAACGGTGGGCTCAACACCTCCCCTCTGCATCCTGCTAACATCCCAAACTCAGCGTGACCCATATCAAACACCTCCTCTTTGAAAAATTCAATATATTGCACTGTTTATTTTAGTTGAGTCCCTTCTTTTTTTTTTCATTCTCTTTACTCCTCATTAGTGCTACCATATTCAGAGCCTGATTCTCTT